CCACACCTGGACTCAGTTGGAAGTGGTGGTCAATTTGGAGACCTTGGACAAGGAACTGAGCTTTGCGTGCTTTAAAAATGTGCTTAGTGTACAGATACTTCCTTCTTGCTGTGTTCTCTTCAGGAATAAGACAATGCTTTGCGCTTTCCTCTGTTCTTAGCAGCATGTTTGTGTACATGTGCGTGACAAGAGACACTTGGCATCACTCAGAAGTACACTGTATGATAACATTTTAAGGAAATCCCTGAATATTGGATGTGTAGGTTATTTTGAACTTTTCTATTGGGGCTCAGGCGAATTCTAAAACCATAGTTGTTAATTCAAGGCCTAGGTATGCAGGGCTTGCAAGTGCCCTACAAAGGGTCCCAGTGCACCTCCCTGAATACTAACAAAGTGACTGGTGTCAGTGTGGGTCTCCCCGTGACAGTATCTCCCCGTGTGTCCCCCTGGAGCTGCAGGCCATTGAGTAGCACCCAGGCTAGTGTGTCACATGGGTTGGGTTTAGAACATGATCATTTGGGAGAAACTTGGAAGCGAGAAGCAGACGGGGTTGTACACTTGGCTCCCCCCCTGAGCAGCACACCAGGACTCGTAGGGGCAGTGTAGGGAGCACAAGCACTTATTTCAGGGGAACCCTGCCACGCTGCCTGTGACCTGCGTAGAGTGATAAGCTGGAAACACGAATGAGGGAAACCCTCCGCTCTGTAGATCCTAGTGCCATTGCCATGTGGAAGCCCCCAGACCCGGATCCTGGCAGAGACTGGGCCTGGTGACAGGCTGGTGGTCTGGACACCAGCAGAGGGGGCGTCAGATCAGTGTCTGTACTGCCCCCGTCAGCCTGTGACCAGCAGCATGAGCATTCCGGGTCACAGAAGCTCAGTTCTCCCCGCAGCCAGGGAATCCTCTGCATGAAGCTCCTAGAGTCGCCTCACCTGGCAGCCATCCTGATTCATGAGGCCATGGCTCAATTTGAGAATCTACATTTTAAGCTTCTTTGCCAGCTGGTTGTTGGTTTCACACCATAAAGTTTCAAGAGCCCCAACCTGAAATACTTTTTGTTGTTGTTGTTCAGGTCTCTCTGTGTACTTCAGGCTGGCCTTGAAATCCCTCTTGCCTCCCAAGGGCTGGGATTACTAGCATGTACTACTACGCTCAGGCCTAAACCACTTTTTAAAAGTGCCTAAACCACCTATTTCTTCTTGCTTGTTTTTTTTCTTTCTTGTCTTCAATGGTATGACAATCTGTTATTTATCAGATGACATAAAATCAGTGGCCCGTGATTGAGTTCAGGATAATATAACATTTCCTATAATTTCAGCTGTATACCAATTTTCTCCTCAGGAAAAAAATGTCTTTCTAGAAGTTAATTTCCCTCCATATTCACATTAATCTCCATCTTTTGTAATAAATATCTGGAAAATGTACTCTAACGCTCACATCACTGGGCTCTCTTGTGTTATGTTTGATGGAGCCTTTTGAAGCTGACATTGCAGAATGTGGATAAAACCCTTTGCTGCCGAGACAGAAGAGCGCTAGGCCATTGCTTAGCAATAACTTACCCCAGAGATGTACAAATGCCAATGCCGCCAGTATTAATGTCCGACGGATTGCAAGAGAGAAAATGCCCATGTCGTCTTCTGTTTCAGGTATATCCAGGGAGCGGCATCCCCCAAGGACATGCTCATCCTGGTGGACGTGTGAGTAGTGTGCGCATGCGTACGTACGCCGAGCGGTGTGTGCCGCTCCGTGGGCAGCACTTGTGTGTCGGGTCTGAGCAATGCATGAGAGGCTGAGAATCTGTAATTATGATTTTTTTAAGGCCCAGACAAAGGAGCCATAGTAAGACCGTTACACACCCAGCAGCAACCACTTACTTGATTGGATTGAGGAGACTCCCACTTCTGTCTGAGCACCATTGGGAAATGATGGCATTGTTCTACAGTCAGAGCCTGGGAACACTGTTCTGTTGGCTTTCAGTCTTTGCTTTACGTGTTGAGGGCAGGAGTAAAGCACAGAATTGCTAAAACCAAGCAGCTCCTGATACAATGAAATCAAAACATAAAAAGAAAAAAAAAACAACTATATTTAGCTGGCACTTAGTAATTAGCAGTTCATTTAACTTTTAGGGGTTTGTCACAAAATAAATATTGAATACATGAAGCTACTTGTACCTGGACTTTTTCAAAGGACAGGTTCCTATGCAAGAAAACAACTCCTGGGGTTTTTACTTTGGCCCTTTTCTCTTACTTGTTCAGTTGCTTCAAGTTAGGATGCATGTGAAGTTGGAATGGGGCTCACTGCCTGGCTCCAAGCTCTATGAGGAGGGGCACAGAGGGTGCAGTCAGTGGAGACGAGAAAACCAAACCCCGGATTCTGGAGTTGAACTGCTGTCAGGTGGGGAAGGCACTGTGACCCCAAATCTGTCATCAGGGTTGCCGTGTGGCTATGTGATCGCTGGCTTAATCCAGCCAACAGAATGCTGTTTGTTTTACTAAGATTGTGTATTTAAAAAAATTGTCACTCACCATATAATGTTAATATTTCATTAAGAAATGCATACTGACATTGGTAAGAAAGAAAAGGCAAATTTCTTATGATTTCCACCATGCCAAAAGATCTGATTTTTCCTATTGATTTTTTCTGCTGATTACTTAAGATAGCTTCATCAATTGAATATGATATAGGCATCCTAGACCAGCATGTTCGTCAGCCTGCCTGTGGTGTGCTTGACCAAATGGCTAACTGGTGAATAACATGCGCTGTCTCTCCTCACAGGAGTGGCAGTGTCAGTGGCTTGACGCTTAAGCTGATCCGAACGTCTGTCTCTGAAATGCTAGAAACACTCTCAGACGATGACTTTGTGAATGTGGCTTCGGTAAGTAGGAGACGGCTGTATTTCCTTGAACTGGCCTGGCCTCAGACACGGGGGGTCTGTCTGCACTGTGCTCCAAGGGAGCCCCGGTGCTCCCATGGGGCTGCCTTGCTGCGCTGTTCTCCTAGATACCCTCCCCATTCCGTGTCCATACCGGTCTTGTGTTGCTGAGTGGTAATGTGTGCATAGGACGATGGAGATGGAGAACACCAATGTTCTTTATATCATAGATATATCATGATATGAAGGCGTCGTCCTATACGCCTTCACTGGAGGAGCTAAATAGGTGACGCGAGCCCTTGCCCATGTGCTTACCTTTGGGCCCTCAAGGGAGCTTGTCCTGGTGGATTTTGAGGACAGTTTTCCACTCACTGTAAAGCTCACTTTCACCCTAGAACAAATAGCCATCATGTGTTATATTTTCCAATTTTTTTTTTATAACAAGAACCAATAGCATTTGAATGAGCTCAGAACCATCTCATGCTTCTTACTCATGGCTAGAAAACACTGAACTCTGAACCCGATTAAAACACCCCTGATGTCGCCGCATCTCACTTCATTTCACAGAACTTAGGCCAGGTGTTTCTTGCCTGCTTCCTGGCAGGTGCGGAGGCTCGCTGAAGGGGCTGCGTTCACAGAGATGTGGGTGGCAAACAAGGAAATGGAGGTGACATTAGTTTGTACTGAACGTGAGAGAATGGATCTGTCCCTGAAACCACACGGAGGCAAGAGTTAAGTGCCGATCTGGCCTGGATTCTCCTTTGCCTCACTGGGAGGAGGGGATCTGGTATAATCGCTGTGTGCAGAAGCCCCTGCAACCAGTTAAGGATGCTTACTAAGGGTTTCTCTAAAATACCTCCAGAGGGCTATTTCGGGATTAGGGTAACTATTGGAAAGGGAACCCATTACCTATGCTATAAGAGACTCTAGGAAATTCCTCATAGGAGATGTGGTTCTCTGGGGTAATGCCCTGGAGATAGTTCATGGTTTAAAGAAACTCATTAGAGGGCCAACCAAATAGCTCAATGGATAAAAGTGCCTGCAAGCAGGCACAGGGCCCAGGGGTTTGATCCCCGGGTCTGCTGTGCCAGCCCTGCCCCTGGGGCATGTTGAGATCGTGACAGCCTATAATCCCAGCTTTTGGGAGGCTGTAAACAGGCGGATCACTATGAGTCCGATTTAGTAGTGAGACCCTGAAACAATCACTAAAACAAGGTTCAAGTTCAAGTGTTTATGTGGACAGTAGCTCTAAGAAAGTCTCTTAGAGAAATGTGGGAATTAGAGGAGAAAACTAATAAATACTTTATCAAATAGGTGGTGACTTCAGCGAGTGGAGCCTCATCCTCTGAATAACTTTGGGAATGAGTGTAGATTACATAAATGAGAATCACCCCCTTGAGGGGAAAATATGCTCACGTGTATAAAAATGATGACTATTCCTACGAGAGGCCGGTTGCCGATCTTGTGCGATGATGGTGAAGAGGGGCCTGCAGTCTCAGGCAGTTAGGAGTTAGGCTGGCATGAAGAGAAACACTTGTGGAGGACCCATAGCACCTGCCGGAGTTGGAAAGCCAGCAGCGCTGTGGTAAGGCCTTCCAGCAAGGATTTCTGGTGACGCGGCCTTCAGGTGTGCTCTGTGCTCTCACCTTTGACCAGCAACTTGTGCTTCTTTCCTGCTGAAGAACTTGTGTGGGATTTGCAGTGGCATTCTTATCACGCAACAAATTTTGAAGATTATTATTTTTCCTCAAAATTTTTGAAATTGTGCATCTATTATTACAGGAAGACATTGGAAGGATGGAACAGGGACCCCCCACCAAGCGCCAAGTGAAATTCACTGCCCTTCTCAGGCCCTGCCTTCTCAAGGGCTTGCTTATTTGGTAGATTCCTTCAGCTGTGTATGGCTCTTGCTTTGCTAAACGTTGAGTGATTTTTTTTTTCTCTTTTTGTATTTTATTTTATTTTTTTAATATAGTTTTATTTATTTATTTATTTATTTTTTAAAAATTTATTTATTTATTTGTGTGTGGGGGGTGTGGGTGTGGGTGTGGCCAGCTCAGCCCACCAGGAGGTGGGGCCGGCTGGCATGTGGTGCTGGGGGATTGAACTGTGGTCCCTGTGTTTTGCTTAGCTTGTTCTAGGTAGGTGCTTTAGACCACTGAGCCATCTCACCAGCCCTCTTTTTGTATTTTAGGGAAGGGTCTACAGGGTATTCATGGTCTCACTACTAGATCAGACTCATAGTGATCCACCTGTTTACAGCCTCCCAAGAGCTGGGATTACAGGTGCACACCACCACGCCCAGTCTCAATTGCCATTTCACCATGTCCCAGGGGTGGGACCGGCATGGCAGGCCTAGGGATTGAACTCCCAAAAGTTTACTTTTTATTTTTACTTTTTTGCAGTACTGGGGATTGGACTCAGGACCTTGCACTTGCCAGGCAAGCGCTTATTCTGAGCCATCTCCCCAGCCCTTTTTTTTTTTCTTAAGGAGGGTACACTATTCTTTTTTTGGTTAACCCTCTTGTTTAGTTTTATTATTTTGTAAACTCACTAGTACATTTTCATGATTATCTATTTGTCCTTCAGGAAATCAGAATATCAATAAATAAGATAAAAAATTTTCATGATAACGAGAGTCTTCAAAACAAACTTGTGCAGAAAGTGGTAATATTGTACTGAAGTTTAGGGTGAGGGAACATGTAGAAAGAGCTTTAGCAACTTTTTTATAGAAGGAAACAGGATAGGATCATAGCTATATTCATTGAAAAGTCTAGATTTGAGAAGTAAATTGAGGCTGAATCTTTAACAAAAATATGAAAGAGATTTTCCGATCTCATGATTTGACAAAAATAAAGAGAAATACTTCTTTAAGTATAAATTTATTACTACTTTTTAAAGAAGGTGATTATTTGCGCTTTGGTAAAGGAACTCTTTCAAGAAATTTGCTGTGCTTTTGCTTGAGAGAGCAAATACAAATTCAGTCACTCTTAGTCTTACTGCTAAGTCCTACACACTGTAGTAAGCAACGCTCTTGGCCCTGGTAGCGCATCCTTATTTTGACTTTTGGTTCGTGTTCTTTACCATGCATCTTCTACTTATATCAAACATCAGACATTCTTGTTAACATCTGTGCAGTAGCTTGTGTCAACTGTATCCACAATTTATAAGAAATATTACATTTTTATTACTTACCATGCTTTCTTTAGGCTATGAACTACCTGAAATTGATATATTTTAGAAAAATTCTTATGCAGCATTTTTAAAGAGAAAAAAATGAATTGTATTTTTGTTTTCAACTGACCATTTGGATTAAAAGCAAAAAGTTAATAGCATGGAAATACTCAGGAAAGCCTCAACATATCTTTGTAACGTCCTAGCAGATTTATGTGTGTGCACTTGTAACCCCGGAGGTGTTTCTCCCCTCATCTCTGTCATTTGAAAGTCTAGGAGAGCCACAGTATACTATGTCTTTACCTCTGTAAGTAACTGCAAGGCTGTTTTCTCAAGGCACCGAGGAAGTGGGGCAGGCTCCACATTATCCTTGAAACTTTCCCACAAAGCCTTGGGCACTGTCCCCCCTAAGAGCTCAGGCACTGAGAGAGCTACAGTGGAATCTGCACAAACAACACAGCCTGGCCTGGAAGTATGAGACCAAGAAATCCAGCAGCCTTGTCTTTGTAGGTTCATGCGCCTAAGTCCTACAGAAGATGCCTGTGCTAATGCTGCATCATTTCTGAGCATGTGCAGTGTCTCCAAGGCTGGCCAAGGCTCTAGACAGGGAGCCTGCTCTCAGGCAGTGTCCGTGCAAATGTTAAGGTTAGTGCAGTCTTCCTGTCTCCATACAGCCACACACTTCCTGACTTGCGTTAGGCACTGGAGTTTCGATCATGTTGAGAATGTTGGAGTCTGCTTTCTCCCTGTGAACTTGCCTAATGCATGCTCATTAGAAATCATTGTCTTTGATTGCTCACCAGGCAAAAGAAAACAATTAAAATATAATTGTGTATAATGTTTGTGTAGTTGCTTGGAAGGCAGATCATTACAAATACAATTGTTACATCTGTCCAGCCTGTAGTCACTGGGCAACTCCATAGTAAGAATTTATAGATGCAATCGCAAACCTAGGAGGAATGAGCCATCCTCAGGCCCAAGAATGACAGTGGAGGGTAGCCCTGGGCTGGAGAGACACTTTCTCCTACTGTAACTCATACAAGAACACTGGACTTGCTGGTGTGGTGGCCCAGGACCAGATCGCAGCTGGTTACGTGACTGAAGTGACAGCATCATGGCTTCAAATGCAACTTGGGCCATTTAGCAACAATCCCCAGTCCCCAAATTAAAAGTCATGGGAATGTCTTGCAGTGGGAGAGCCCTGGTCTCACAGTGCATGAGTTCTGGACTGACTGCACTGCAGACCACACCCCAAACCAACACAGCTGTGGATTTGGGGGTCCAGCCCTGTGTGGGGCCAGCCTGTGCTTGCACTTCCACGTAACAAGATATAGCTTAGAACAGGACGCCTGGAGCATTGCAAGAGTCTGTGTTCCTCGTAGGCGTGCACATCGAACCATTCTTCCACGGCTGTACCAACCCCGCCCCCACCGCACCCATGTCATTGGCGAGGATCCCTCTGGACAGATGGTGTGTTCGCTCCTTACACATGCACCAGGCTGTTCAGCATAGATTTTTACAGTGACAAGGCGCAGCTTGTGACACCACCAGTGATGTGACTGCCTACAGGTTGCCTCAGGCTCACAGGTCCCAGCTGCTTTCTGTAACAGTGGACAGAAGCATATATGTCTTTCCAAAGTAGCAGGCGCCCAAAGGGAAACATCATGTGGAATGTGTTCATAGATTATAATCATCACTATGGTTATTAGTTTTGTTTGTATTCCAGTACTTTATTTATTTATTTATTTTTTTTTTTTACCAACTGTTAGTGAACAACTCTTCATGAATCTGTCATATTTCTTTGGGTCTCAGCATTGGAGGTGATTAGT